CAGGGGAAGGTTGATGAGAAGGACTATCCTCCATAGCCAACAGAGACAGAAAGCCTTCCCCTGGAGCTGATGCCCTGAATTTGGACTTCTAGCCTACTACACTGTGAGAAAATAAATTCCTGTTAGTTAAAGCTATCCACTTCTGGTATTTCTGTTATAGCAGCATTAGGTAACTAAGACAGTCTCTCTGTTAGCCCTGCGGGAAGGTCCTTGTCGTCAGTCTTCACCTGGTATAGGAGCTTCTCAGTGCAGGGACTCTGGGTCCAAAGGATGTGCTCCACTCCTGGTGTTTCTTTCTTGGTGGCATGAGGTCCCTCTCCTCTCTGTTATATCTCAAGAGAGTTTGACTCAAGACACAAACTAATCCTGGAGAGTCTTGCCTCATTAACATAACTGCCTCTAATCCTGCCTCATTAATATCGTGGAGGTTAGGATTTACAACACATAAGATAATCATATCAGATCACAAAATGGTGGACAACCACACGATACTGGGAATCATGGCCTAGCCAAGTTGACACACATTTTCAGGGGATGCAATTCAATCCATAACACTATGCAAGGGCTTTAAATAGTGTTTTATGGATAGTTTCTTTGCTTTTATAATTTTTTTTTTTTGTGGGAGGGCTAATTTAATACATGCTACTCCAACATGGCTGAAACGGAAAATTCCATTTTGTGATATTTAATTGTAATTATTTATTAGAATGTTTATTTTCCTCACTGGACTCTATGGGGGCAAAACACTTCTTCCTTTTTACATCATTAACAGTTATACACTGTGTCCAGCTGTGTGTAATTAAAACCAGATGATAGTGACTTAAGCAAACAGAGAGTTATTTTTCTCACATAACAAGACATACAGAGCTTGGCAGTTTAGGACTAGTGCAATAATTCCATAAAATCATCAACATCCCAGGCTGACTCTAGCTTTCTGTTCCACCAACCTTAACACGTGATTTTTAGCTTCATGGGTACATCAGAGTTACCAGACGGCTGTTCTACCTCTAGCCTGTCATCTATACTCTTAGCAGAAATAAGAAGGAAGTAAAAAGAAAGAGGTGATGCCTAGATCATAAAAACAAGAATGTCCCAAAAGTATTCCAAAGACTTCTGCTTACATTTCACTGGCCAGAACCAACTCATATGACCTCCTTTAGTTGCAGAAGAAGCTGGGATATATATATATAAATACATATATATAAATCAGGGTACATGGCTATCCAAATAAAATTTGTCCACTGTTAAAAAAGGAAACAGGGAGGATGGCTCTTGGCTTGGCAACTAACAATGGCTGCCACTGTCCTCAGCGCTTGGCATGGTGCCTGAAAGTTAGAGGTACTCTGTAAATATTAGGGGAATAAATCTCCATAGGATGCCATCTGATCAATGAGAGAGTAATGGACTGTGTAGATCGAGTCTATGCCAATGCAATTGATCTTACCTTATTTAAAAACTAAGGGGCACTTGGCAGTTTGAGGGAAAATCAGCCCTTTTGTTTCATTTTGTCATTTTCAAGGCGTATTTTGAGCAGCTACTCTGGCAAGGTATTATGCTGTGGGGGATAATAGGGCATCTTTCTGCCCAACCCAGCCAGGAAAGCCTAGTCCTAAGTCAAAACTACATTTTCCTCCTTTGCTGTCAGGAATTACAGAAAAGAAGCAGTAAGGCACAGTTGGGAGAAGCTGGCCTTTGAGATCAGACCAGCCTTGGGTCAAGTCCTGGCTCCATTCCCTATTTAACTGGACAAGTTATTTATTAATCTCTCAGTTTCCTCCTTTGAAAATGCATATGATGATAGTGCCAACCTCATTGTAAATGACTGAAAGATTTAAAAGAGATAAAGTATCTAAAGCTTTTACCATAGTGTCTAGCACATGCTAAGTGTTCAATAAATAGTAGATGTTAACTGTGAAGCCATTGACTGTGAAGATCATACCACTATAAATTAATGGTCTCTGTGCTGGTTATGGGGTCCCTGGGTGGTGCAGATGCTTAACATGCTTGGCTGCTAACCAAAAGAGGCACCTCAGAAGAAAGGCCTGGCAGTCTCCTTCTCAAAAATCAGACATTGAAAACCCTATGGAGCACAGTTCTACTCTGACAACATGGGGTCACCATGAGTCAGAATCAATGACAACTGGTGGCTGCTGCTGGATAGGCTCTGTTTTCCCTTCTTCACACTGCTTGGTGTCCTGGAGTCTTACCTTTTTGGATTCTATCAATGAGCTACCTTGCCCTCTGGGTTCGGGTTAGTGGTAGTGGCTGCATTCCTCATCCAAAGGCCATAGCTCCCATGTGGCAGCCTTCTCCTAAACTGTACCCACTGTCTCTGGGATCTGGTAACTGCTCTCGCCTATTGCCCGTTCAGGCCTAGTGGTGGTGAAGGCTTCTCACTGTTGCTAGCTCCAGGGTGCTTCACCATCCTTTATGAGTTTCCCTTAACTCTTCTCATACCTTCGTAAACATTCTCTTCAGGAAACCCTCCTCAGTTACCCCACCCGAACGTGCTATTTGTTTCAGGACCCCGACTGAGACAGTCTCCAACACCAACTTGCCTAGCTACTCTTTCATTTGTCCTTGTTTAGCTTCCTCTCCCGTCCTCATCAGTGATTCCAAAACATGACCCTTCTCAGGCCCGTTACAGAAGCCCCATCTCTTCAGTCTCAGCAGTCCACCTCACCTCTTATGTTATTGAGAAAATGGAAGCCATTTGAGCTGATCCACTTAAACTTATACTTGGAGGAAATTTATATGAGCCTTGCCTCATTCTTCCAGATGGGGTGTCCCTTCCCTTTGAGTCCAGCCCCTCTTTCTAAATCCTGTGCCTTCCAGCCACGTTAGTCCTGCTTCTCTCCCCTGCGTCTTCAGCCTCTCTGTTTTCACTTTTTTCTTCGTATAGTGTAGCATAGAAATATCAGAATGTGTTCATTTCTTAGAAACAAAATCCCTTACTTTTTACTGCTTCTTATTTTAACTTCCCGTTATTTCTCTCCTACCCAACAAACCAAACTTCTCCATTTGTTCTACTCGCATATTCCTTCCCCTGTTGCTCTTTAGCTTTTGACTGTACTGTAGTGATGGACTGACGGACATAATCCTCGTACGCCCCCTCAACCCTTGCTCTGAACAGCTGAAAATTTTTCAACCTCATGTTAGTATCTGCAAACGCACCATCCAGACAAGTCCTCTACCCTCACTTCTATCCAGATGGCACCCCTAAACACTTCTTAGATCAAAAAAACATCTGGAGCTACCATTACCCTTTGCTACTCAGAAACTATTCTCAATACAATTACCAGTGATTTCTTAACTGTAAATGTAAAAGACATTTTTCAGTGCTTAGCTTTCATGCAGAGCCCTGGTGGCGCAGTGGTTAAGTGATAACCAAAAGATTGGCAGTTCAAATCTACCAGTTGCTCCTTGGAAACCCTATGGGGCAATTCTACTCTGTCCTCTAGGGTTGCTATGGGTCGGAATCAACTCGATGGCAAGGGGTTTGGTTTGGGGTTAGCTTTCGACATTGTTGATCATGCCCTCCTTGGATCACTACTCTCCCACAGCTTCCTGACACTTCAGTCTCCTGGTTCTTCGTATGCCTCCCAGGGCATCTTTCTTTGACCCCTTTCCTGTTCCCCTCCTCCTTTCAATATCCTCTTCCCCAGGCCACTTCTCTTTCCCCTGTGTATCAAGGATTCTTAATCTGAAGGTCCCCTGAAATTGTGCATATGTTTGTGTATATGATCTTTAATATGTGCATTTTTCTGGGGAGACTATTCATAGCTCTCACCACATTCTCAAAGGGATCAAGGATCCCCAAATGTTAGGTCATCTGTAACCTCGTATCCCTGAGCAATCTCATCCTCTCATGTCTTCCTACCATCTACATGATGATGATTTCCAAATCCTTTTCTCAGACCTGACACCTCCCAACTTAAAGCATCTCAGTAGTTTCTCATTTCCCTGTCCTTTACATAATGTGTAAGACCCTCTAAAATCTGGCCCTGACTGCCTCTCCAGCCTCATGTCTTAAAGTTCTTTGCCTTCTAGTTTGGGTTTCAGGAAGAGTGAACCGCTTTAGCTGTGTTAGGAGAGTAGGATTCTGCCAGAGCCCACTCTTATAACCACTCTGCACCAGGATGTCCCTACCTGCCCTGGTGGCCTCTCACCTTTGGTCTGGACGTTACATTCATTTGTTGATTAAGGAGCCTTCCTGTCCCAGCAATTTCTGTCTTTCTTTTCAGTAACATTAAAAGTCAGTGCCTTAGCAGGTAATATGCTGTTCATTGTGTCACACAAGAAAAATGACGTTTCAAAAGAAGAGTTGTTATTTTAACCGGAAGATGATTTCAGATGCTTTATTGAATTATCGTATTCTAGTATTCTCATCCAACACCCATCTGTCAGTTTGCCATATTGTGGTGGCTTGTACGTTGCTATGATACTGGAAGCTATGCCACTGGCATTTCAAATACCAGCAGGTCACCCATGGTGGACAGGTTTCAGTGATGCTTCCAGACTAAGACAGACTAGGAAGAAAGACCTGGCAATCTACTTCCAAAAATTAGCCAATGAAAACAATATAGATCACAACAGAATCTTGTTTGATATTGTGTGGAAGATGAGCTCCCTAGGTTGGAAAGCACTTGAAATCAGCAATGGACTCAAACATACCAATGATCGTGAGGATGGCACAAGACCAGACGATGTTTTATTCTGTCATATACATAAGGTCACCATGAGTCAGAGCCAGCTCCATGGAAACTAACAACAACAACAAAATTCTAATTATTGAAACAGAAAAAACAAACTCAGCTCAGGCTTCACCTCTGCCAGGAAGCCTTCTCAAAACCCTTCTCCCTTCTGGCTGGATTAGGTGCCCTTCTGATGTGCTCTCATTGGCCCTTATACTCTTTTCTCACTGTACCTACCACACTGAGTTGTAATTCTGTTTATGTATGTGTCACCTCTACTTGAAAGCAGGGGTGTGTTTTTTTCACCTTTGTGCCCCCAGCACTTGACACGGTGTCTGGCACATAGTCGGTTCTCAATAAATGTTGACTGAACTGCAGTAAAGTGAAAAAATGATGGTCCTTCCTCTTCCTCTCAGAGATTTCTTCAGATCTGGTTCTCATGAGCTCTTGCCTGCCGCAGGGTGTGTCCTTCTCCAGCCCACTCTCCACACTGCTCCCTAGAAATGTGATCCTAAGAAAACAAACCATATGACACCCAAGCCAGAAATCATAAAGGATCTATAGATTTGACTTCAACAAGTAAAACTTGTAGACTGAAAACATAGTTATGACAAAGTAAATTCTTGATAGATCAAAGATTTAAACATGAGAAAGAAACCTCAAAAATGCCAGAGGAAAAGGTGTGATTTTTTTTTTTTTAATTTGGAATACAGATGGCCCTTTTACCTATGATCCCAAATCCACAAGCCATGAAGGAAGACATAAATTTACCTACATAAAAATGTTAGACTTCTGAATGGCAATAATAATAATAGTAATACCATAAACAAAGTCCAAATAACTTTATTTTGATCTGTTACTCTTTATCTTTAAAAATTGGTTAAAAGAACATTAAGGTGAAATTCTTTTTATTGTTTCTAAAGTTTTTGAGAACTCAGAAAAGGAGATATTTATGTTAGGCCCAGATCCTTTTAGCAATATATCCTTCACAACTATTGGTAATGACATATTTTCCAATCTGTAACAACTATGTCAAAATTAACATAATGCTCTTGACAGAGAATATAAAAATTAGATTGCTGTTTTATTTCACATTTACTTAAAATACTCTCCAGGCACGGACCAGTAATGTGAAATTTGTCTCCAAAAATGGAGGGTGCCGAGAGGCCAAAGAAAGAGGTGGGCAACTCCAGTGAGACAGTGAAGGAGTTTATTATTAGGGTGATTTACATACCAAGGCAGTAGTTCCTGGAGGCAGGAAGACTAGGGCAGTTCTCTGCGCCCAGCAGTAGAGGAGCAGGGGTTTTATAGTGGTCAAGGACAAAGGTGGCTCTGAGCCAGAGGGTGACATAAGACTGCCTCAGTAAGGTCACATAACAAGGGCTTGGAAAACAGCAGTGAACTAACGGAAACAACAGTGAAATAACGGAAAGCATGAGGGCAGCCGTGTTCAGCCTTGCAAAGCCTGTTTTCCCCTTAATATGTACGTTAGTTAAGAGCTAGACAGAATGTCTGTGTCTTTATGGAGACTGATAAATCTTTGATTACATTTTTCTTCAAGGAGAAAATTTGTCCAATTTTAGTAAGAAAGGTATGAGTTTGTACTTTCAATGAATTATCAAAAAGTGAGCTTTTGGGAATGTAGGCTTAAATATTTAAAACTAACTTTTTTTTTTTTACTAATATTTTACATTGAAATATAATAGTTGATTTTTAAAATCTTAAAAATATTATTGTTTCTCAAAACTATGCTTCTATAGGAGAGCTGCATATGTAGATTAAGACAAGTTGAGCTTTTGTCTTCCAAATTTATGTTTATTACCATAATCAGGTGATTCTCAGATATTTATAACTTAACATATTAAAACTTTCAGCAACTAAGCTATAGTTGCTACATTTACAAAGTAACTTGTGATTTAGAGAAACTTTTTGAAACAGATTGGTGTTGCATTTAAGCTTAATGCTCATTTCAGTCACCCATTTCAACAATTTTTACAAACTTAGGAAAATGCAGTTATTAATATGGCTTCATTCAATTATACCTAAGCTCTACAAAATATTTCTGTTGCACACTTAAGTACAATTGAATCAATAAGCTTAATTGTACAGGCAAAAGTGATGGCTTTTCTTTCACATTTAAATTATATTTGTTTCACACTTAAAATAATGCCTGAAAACTAGTTAGACCTTGACTGTGATAGGTTATTGCATTTTTTCAATGTTAAATAGTTCGACATTTTAAGTTCTACTTTTTCACATATCTTCAAATAGACTCTTTAGTATATAAAATTGAGTGGCTGACACCACCACCATAAGCACTAAATTCACCGTGGACCAGAAACTGACTCTATCAAGACGCTTCCTTGTATGTTTCTATCACAAGCTGCAAATACTCTGAGCAGAGTTGGCATATGACCAAATTTGCTTAACCAGAACTTGATGTGTTATAGATTCCAGGATGTTTTCCAGTTTCATACCTGTTATGGATTAAATTGTGTCCTTCAAAAATGTGTGTCCACTTGGCTAGGACATGGTTCCCAGTATTGTACAGTTGTACACCATTTTGTGATCTGATGTGATTATTCAATGTGTTGTAAATCCAAACCTCTATGATATCAATGAGGCAGGATTAGAGGCAGTTATGTTAATGAGGTAGGACTCAATCCTTAGGATTAGTTTGTATCTTGAATCAATTTCTTTTGAGATATAAAAGAGAGAATCAAGCAGAGAGGAGAAGGACCTCATGCCACCAGGGGGCAGGGCATGTCGTTTGGGCCAGGGTCCCTGTGCTGAGAAGCTCATAGACCAGGGGAAGTTTGATGACAAGGACCTTCCACCACATCCAATAGAGAGAAGGAATCTTTCCCTGGAGCTGGTGCCCTGAATTCAGACTTCTAGCCTCCTAGACTGTGAGAAAATAAATTTCTGTTTGTTAAAGCCATCCACTGGTGGTATTTCTGTCACAGCAGCACTAGATGACTAAGACAGTACCCAACACATCTGTGCCTGTATATATTCCTTCCCGTTCTTGCTCCTGTTTGCCCGTATTATCCAGGATTATTTCCAAGAAAGTCACTTTCTCAGAAACGGTGCTGATTGTATTGTCAGAGCAGAGCATGTAGTCACCGACTTTAGTCTTGGTTCAAAAACTGAGGTTTTACTTTCCGAAGAGGTAAGATGGAAATCAATATCCAGTCCTGCTCCTTTTAAAGCCCGGTAGCCATCTCCAGCGAGGCGGTCAGGAGCCCTGGCCTGGAGGGCTGGCACTGCGGCCAGGGCGCAGCAGCTCTTGCCGCCCATCCTGCTGGGACCGCCTCGGTCTGGGAAAGGTGTGGAAGCCGGCTCCGCTTCCCCAGCAGAGGGCGGTGCAACGCTCGCTCAGAGGGTGGGTGGGGCGCCTTCCTCCAAAGGGAGGGACCCACGGCGGGGCCGCAGCCACTTCCCACATCCTCCTCGGTTTCTGCCCCGTTAGGGCCCTCTTCCTCCTAACTTTTTATTTTCAACAAAAATTTCAATCCTATGGAAAAGTTAAAAGCATTATAAAAATTAGCCCCTGTGTATTCTTCACCTGGCCATTGATAGCATCTTGCCTAACAATACTTTTCTACTGGATCAGGCAGTGCCTGATCCCCGTGACTGAGGGCACTGGCTGGTAAATTCACAGAGGAAACACAAATAACAAGTAAACACGTGAAAAATTGCTCAACCTAATTCCTCTTAAAACAATGAGATGCATTTTTCAATGATAATAACTAGCTGGGGGAGGGCAGAGGAAATGAGCGGCGCTCTCTTATTCTATTGGTGGGAGTGGAACTTGATAGAGTCTCAGGAGGGTAGTTTCACAACGGGAGTTTCACCATGTGTGAAAAAAAAGTAAGACATATTCATATAATGAAATACTATGAAGGCATAAATAACTATATTAAAAAAAAACAAAAGCTGGCCTGAGTTGATTCCGTTTCACAGCGACGCCATAGAAATAGATATACTGCCCATGATATATTGTTAAATTTAAAAAGCTGTTTGCAGAGAAATGTATGCCGAATGATTACATATTAAAAAATTACAGCTAGTAGAAAAGTTGGGTTTTGTTTGTTGGTTGGTTGGTTTTAATCGAACAAACGAAGAATGTCCAAAAGACAGACATAACCGCAAGGGATAAAATCCGCTTCCACCGGCACCTGCATCACGGTCTAAAGGATAAAGTCCACATTCTGTTTGTTTCTCGGCACCCAGGTTCCTCTACCGTCTCCTCCACTCCTCAGTTCACTCCAAATACCCCATGCTCCACCCACACTGAACTTTCCATCTTCCTCTAAACCCACCAAGCCCTTTTAGGGCTCCTCTGCCTTGCATGCCCTTCCAGCCCTTCCCTGACTGGTAAACTCTCCTCAACCACGAAAACCATCCTAATTGTCCTGTCCTGTTGAAGCCTTCCTTAACCCCTCCAAGTGGAGTCAGTTACTTTCCTGGCATCACAATCTACTGATAGGTCTATAAGTCAGAGTAGCGAGCTCCTGGCAGGAGGAACTTTACCCAGTGCCAGCCCAGTGCCCAGCATCTAGTAGGTGCTCAGTTAATGTTTGCTGAATGACTGAATGATTGTGGTGAGCACTGAGACTGGATGGATGCACTGGGGCAAGACCGCAGAATACCATTAAGGCCAAGTTAAGGAGAAAGCCAAGACTTTGGGGTGTCTTTGTCCTGGGGACTAGATGACCCCTCTTTTTATTCTCACTCCCTTTGTAACACTGGCAACAGCAGGTAGAGCAGAAGAGGCTTGGCCAAAGGTTCAAAGCTAGGAGGCTTTTGGACCACCAGAATGCATACCTGTAAAATAGTCCAGAAGTGGCAGTGCCAGCAGGGTAGTGGCCTGCCATTCTCATGCGGTAATCTGGGCCCACATCACTGGGGCTGACCGGACTCGCTGAGGGAAATGATAGAAGGAGGAGGGGGAGGCTCCTGACCAAGCCAGGCTTCAGGAAAACTACCCCCTCAGCTGCTGAGCCGAGGATAACCCCCCGTCAAACACGAGTGTACGGAAAATGTGCTATGTGGCCAGAGTCTGGTTAACCAAAAGGTAAACTGGACTTTGAAAAGAAAATATTTATACCGAATTAGGACAAATGGGCCCCTGGTAACCAAGGCCCAAACGCACACGATTCTGGAAAAGGGGTTGAGGTGGTTTTCTACTACTGCTGTAACAAATCACCACAAACTTGGTTCTGAGTGTTGAAGTCTGACATGGGTCTTTTGCAGCTACAGTCAAGGTGTGAGCAGGACTGCATTCCTCTCTGGAGGTTCTAGGGGAGAATCCATTTCCTTGCCTTTTCCAGCTTCTCGAGGCCACCCACATTCCTTGGCTCATGGCCCCCTTCCTCCCTCTTCAAAGCCAGTAATGTTGCATCTGTCTGACCATTCTTCCATAGTTGCATCTCCTGACCACAGCCAGGAAAGGTTCTCCACTTTTGAGGACTCATGTGATTGGAAGTGGACCATCTCAGACAATCCAGATAATCTCCCCATCTCAAGGTCCTTAACCTTAATCACATCTGCAAAATCCCTTTTGTCATGTCAGGTAACATATTCATAGCTTCTGGGGATTAGGACATAGACATCTTTGGGGAGCCGTTATTCTGCCTGCCACAGGGTGTGGTATGGAGAAA